GGGGGAGATGCAGGGCAGCTGGAGAACAAACCTTCGCCATGTGAATCGCATCCGCCGCCTCCTTCTCTTTGCGTCACTGTTTACATCCACAGCATGTGTCCCTCGTCTTCCTGGAAGAAAGGTTGAGCAGACGAATGACGACAGATCAGGAGACAGCCGGGGAGATGTTGTTTTGTTTCAGGCAGAGAGGCTCAGCAGCTGTCACTTTGTAACGATGAGGGGAATCCTCACAGACGAATCATTAGAGAGCAACGTTGGTGCAAGTTAAGATAAACTTACTCATCTCTGTCCTTTCTGTTTGTGTGCTATAGCATCTCAACTACTATCATCCAAATGTGGGGCAGTTTGAGTCCATCAAGTTGTCCAAATATATTCATGGCATGTGGTCTGAAACTTAGTATCTATGATTGTAATTAAAAGAGAAAAGACATTCAAGGATTCAAGGATTTTCATTGTCGTTCAGATCACATGTGGTACATGAGGTGGAACAAAACTATGTACGCAGGGTCCCAGTTACATCCAACAAAAATACAAATTGTAAAGAAAAACATTAGTAAGATCCGAGTCATAAACTAAAAATATACTACATTCACTAAACTAAGAATACACTAAGCACTAACAGTACAAAAACAATGCGCCAAAACAACAGCAGCACAAACATGAGTCTGTGTGAGCAGATGAGGATTAATTAACACAGCAACATGAAACAATCAGCAGCATGTGATCAGCATCATGGATAGTCAGCAGCACATATCAACGACCAAGTGGTATCACAGTGATTTTTCCTGGATAGAGATTAACAGCCTCGGGGTAGAAGCTGTTCCTCAGCCTGGTGGTTCTGCACTTAATGCTCCTCAGCCTTCTGCCTGAGGGGAGCGGGGCAAAAAGTGTGTGCTGGGTATGTGGGGTCCTTCATGATACATTTATCTGCTCCTGGGATTTTTAAAGTAAATACTGAAAAACAAACAAAAAAAAGATAAAACAAGGCAGAGAACATGTAGAAGCTCACTGCCTCCAGCTAACATGGAAGCAAAAAGCTGATCTTCACTACGTTCACCCCTAAACATTCATCCCTTCCTCCTCTCTTAAATTAGATTTTCCTCTGTTGCAGAAGGATCAGGAAACAAGCAGCGGTAGGAGCGTGGAAGTGTGTGTGTCTGTGTAGATTGACAGACAGATGGATGTAAGTCCTGTGGTTGTGCCTTCGAAGTATCACATTCTCCTGTTTTCAGCTGATGCCTTATTGCTCCCAGTTGTTGCTTTAAACAAAGTGGAGCCTGAAATAAGGAGAGGTTGAGATGGCCGCTTCACAGCTTCAGTGCTTTGTTTCATGGAAGCACTTTTTCTTTGGAGAAAAAAAAAGTCATAGTTTTTAAATCAATTTGAGCTATGAGAAACATAGAGATGAGTGCACAGGCCAGAACACCGGTATGAATATTTGTCGAGATTGTGCGAGAGGCTGTTTACCGAATTACGTTGAGTCAAAGCAAATCCTTTCTTCTTTCTGGTTTTTGACTTTTCCAGTGGTCATAAATGGTCCTCAGAGGAGGCTCCTTGCAAGGCTGCACTCCTTTGACTAGATGAGTTTGTGGCCCACATACAGGGAGCGGCTATATGTGGAGCTAAAGCTACAGCGCTTCAGGCGAATGTATAAACACTACACTACAGTGGAGTTCACATGGAGTTCATTGTGTGCTCTGTAATACCATCCTGTTCCCCGACTGCTACATGTGTTCTGCTGAGCCAGTCTGAGTGTTCGAAACTGGAAGAAACAGACAACCTACCAGATCATGATATAACTCTTTGATTTGTGGAGGATTTTCATTCTTCTTTAGTAAGTTTTAATCAGTTTGGAGATGACAACGCCACCCACAGCTGATAAGAACCTGACTTTACCACATATTTCTTTTATTCTCCTACGATCGTATTCCTTTTTCACTTCTGTTTTCCCCCGTAACACCCAAACATGTGTTTCACATTTTGCCATATTTGGCCACTGAGCAGTAAAATGGTCTTTTGATCACGACGGCCCTGAATCTTTAGAAATGAAGATGGAGGGAAAAAACAAATCATCTTTTGCTTCTTAAGAAACAGTGTTTCCCGCAAGCAGCACACACTCATAGTGGGCCAACAAGTTTGATGGTGATAAGATGGTTTCAGGAGTCCGCCCTTTCCGCCGTCGACTCCTATGAGGCAGCCATGGCCAAAGTGATTCAAAACATCATTCCAATAATCCATTGCTGGATTTTATACCTGGATCACTGAGCATGAACTTTGATGTTTTGAACCACTATGTGAGTGTGCTGCTTGTGGGACTGAGTTTGTTGGAGCTCCTCGAACTGATGAAGTCCTTTGGTTGATGGATGAAACATTTAAACAAAAACATGAAACCGTCCAGAGGACCTGACTGAACTTTGTTGGATTTAACTTTTAGTTTATTTCTCTCCTCTGAAAACAGAACCTAAACTACTTCTACAAATGCTACTTTTCTCTGCTGTTTTCCCCATTAAACCCTCCTGTTGATCTGGTCCCACATTAGTTTGTCATCGCCTACCTGCCCCAGCTCTGCCGCTCAGGACTGATCACACGCCCACGATGCAGTCACGCAGACGACTGCGCCACAAGAGGCTGGCGACAACTCTGCCAACATCCAGACAGCTGCTTTTAGAGTCTCAATTGAAGGTACAGGTGTGGGCCTCCGCTGACCCACACTGTAAATGCCTGTTTGAGGCAAGATCTTAAATCCAACAAATCCAGGCTTGTGCAAAAAAATGGGACAAAATTCATCCAGTAAATCCAACCGGACTCCTGTTTTATCTAAATGTACCGTTCCAAATCACCGTCATGTTTTCCTCCTGAACATGATCGTTGTTACTTTAGCTGAAGGGGTTTCTCCCTTCGTGTTCCCTCTCCTTAAACCTGAAACATTCAGCAGCCTCAGAACACCTCCATTCATCCGGTAACCTGGACGCCGTCCAGTCGAGAACAGCGATAAACTAAATGGTGTCGTGCAAAAGTGGAAAACTTTAGTTTTTTTTAACCTCTAGGACATTTCTGAGAAAGAGTTTGTTTTCTATGCCTGAAAACTGATATACAGTACAAGGAGTCCCATTTTGTCTAGCCACTAGCTTGACTCCTGGAGGAAAACTTCTCCCCTTTTCTTCATACTTTGCATCTAAAGGCAAATGTCACGGCAGATAAAGTATGAAGTATTGATAACTTTTACAGAACATTACTTCAAAATGGCCAAACTATCCTTTTAAATCCTTTGGCTCCAATACTTTTTAAAGTTGCTTGATCTTCCATAAAGGAAGGAAAGAAGGGTTTAAAGTGGGAGCAGAGGAGGGAGAGGACTATGAGGGAGCTCTCTGAAAGCTGGCAGCGTCAGGAAATGATTAAACGGCTACAATAATACCAATAATCGCGATGAGGAAAACATGTTTGCAGCCACAAGCACTTAGCATCAGGAACTCACACCGTTTCCCATTTCGTAATGAAAGTAGGGGACGACAAACATTTGACACCTTACTGAGGTGTTTCAGACCGTGCAGAAACAAGACAAATATTTAGTTACCGTAATTTCTGGACTATTGAGTGCACCTGAATATAAGCCACGCCCGCTAAATTTAAAACAAAAAATGAGTTTGTACATATATAGGCTACAGTTGTCTATAAGCTGTGGGTGTCCACGTTGTAACATGAGCTATTTACACAGAAAGACTTTTTAAACTTAATTAAATTAAATACATACTGGTAACATAGACAAATATATACAGTAAATGAGTAATGAAGTAAATGAAGTTTTCCCGAATCCAACAAAGTTAAGTCACGTCCTCTGGATGGTTTATTTTTGTTCAAACATTTGTCTTATGTTGTAAATTAGAGCTAAAATACAACAAATATCCTCTACTTTTAACTGTAAAACATTACATTGCTGTTGATTAAAACCTGTCTTGATGTCTCCCCAAGCCCATTTCTTAGACTTTTTCCCTGCTTTTAATTCCAACGTATTTAGGAGCAAAGAACAATTTTACACCCTTCAGAGAAACCACAGGTGTCATAATGACTCCAGTAGCTGTTTGAGCACATTGTTTCACTGATTGAAGATGTGGTGGGACTGCTTCTCGGAAAATGCTGTTATACTTTTAATCGATTACAGATTCTTCCACTCTTTTTTTTGCAACGACTTTTAATTTACGTTTGAGGGATTTCACATATGCACATCACTTAAAGATGTCAGAAAAGACAATAAAACACTGCTGTAAAACCACCATATCTGTTGCTATAGGCTCCAGGACCCCACACAGCTGGGATGTCCCTGAAATGTGGATTTTTCCAATGAAACCCAACAAAAACGTGCTCAGCCTGTTATATTCTGTCACGGTAACGCTTTTAGCTTTATTGCTTGTGAGTGTGTTAATGTTTGCTATGTAAATGAGAGAAAACACACTGTGTTGGGCATTCCTCACCTGTTGGCTCTGTTATTCTGCGTTGTTTAGCTCCTGCAGCGCAGTCGCTAAGCTGAAGGGAAAACTTGGATTTTTTTTTTTTTTATCACAAAGCTCTGTGTTTCTTACATTCAGAGCTCTGGTTGTACAATTATCAAGGTTGCTAAGTTACCAGGCTGATACTGACGTAAGCTAAAAGCCGTTAACATGATTCATGACCCTGTAGCAGCGTGAGGCCTGAGATGTATGTCTGCTCACCGGCTACATCATTTCCTACTTCTTCTGTGACGCTCCTGTTATTTATCACAGCTTTGGTTTTTCCATCATTTTACCAGAAAGATTGAGCTTTCCGAAAGTGGCTGAATGCCTCAAATGAAATCCTTTGGTGCCGTTTAGTTGCAAGCGTGCAGCCTTGTGTGTGACCTCGCAGTGCCAGCTCACACAAAGCTAAAGCCAAGCATTCGACCACCAGCAATGAAACCACAAGTGATGCTCAGTTGCTTTCTGCTCCTCCCTGCAGAGGTTTATTCCCCCGTCTGTCTGTTTCCACAGGGCCTCCAGGGAAACGTGGACGGATCGGAAGAAGAGGAGAACCCGGTAAGGAAAACCTGTTTAAATTGTTTATTTCTTCTCCTCCCCTCTTTTCCTTTAAGTTTTCCTTCCTCCCTCCTTTTATTATGTATTTTTCTGTTCCGGGTGAGTTGGAAAGTTCGAGCAGAAGGTTGGTAAAGCCAGTGATCCATACGAGTCGGGTCACTGGATGACGGGCTGCAGCTCGCCTCTCTTCGTACCCATCACGCGCCCAACATTGTGCTAATTTCACCCATGTGGTTGCAGTAACTTCGCCCAGATGTCAGTCCGTCTTGCTGAGCGGTAGCAGCTGCAGCAGAACAGGCCCTAATGAGTCCACAACATCACTACTCGCCGTTATCGAGACGGTTCTTTTCCAAACCACTGAACACTCGTGAAACCAAAACAGTACAAACATCTAAAGCTCGCCCAGAAAAGGGCCTTTGTCACAGATGTTCTACAAGTTTGAGTCATCCAGATTTTAAGTGTTTTTTATTAAGTGTTGACTCAGACGAGCTTGGGCACCACGGTGTCAGAGCGTTGGCTCAAGCTGCAGGGGTGAAGCTGCAGAGGGATGTATGTCAGACAGGAACATTTCCAGTCTGGCTGTGATTCTTTGTATTAGTTACTTATTAGATTAAATTGTTTTTTTCCTAAACATGACATTTCAGCACTACTGAAGTTTGGGTTTCTCATACATTTATAAAGATTTTGGGTGTGTTATAATTATGCAAATGTTTATTTTTTTGTGGTTTTTTTGCAAGTCGGCCTTGTTTCCACACAGAAATGGCAATGTAGGAGTTCCATAATGGTATTTTCTGAAGAAAAAAAATGCTCCAAAGTTTAAAATAAAAATAAAAATTAGAATAAATACATAAATTAAAAATTTAAATCTGCACTTTCATTTTTGAATATATGGGTCAAATGTTATGTTACCCTTTGAAAGAATGATCTCGTTAACCCCACCTGTAACCTAACCTTTAATTGTTTGCTCCGCGCCTTGTTTCCTGTTTTGGGTGTATTCTTGTGGCGATGTTAATGCGCCTCATACAGGTTTGGCATGGTTACTGTAAATAGCAGCAGCAGCTAGCTGTAGCACTTCCAGTGCAGCACAGACCACTTCCGGCAGGAATCTTTTTCAAGATGTCACCAATCAGTTTTGGTGTTGACCTAGCTTAAACTAGCTGTTAGCTCACCCGTCCGGTCAGCATTATACTCTGTTTCTCCAAACTGAGACCATTAAAATAGCTAAAACATGACCTTCCCATAAAACCCCACTCCAAAAGAATGAACTGTCTCTTTTTGTGAAAATTTAAAATCCAATTCTTAGTAATACATGTCAGCGGAGCAACACTTCATTTGTTGATGCAGCAAGTTATTTTAGTATTTGGAAGTGTTTTCTAAATTGCTCTTCTCGTCAGTACATCTCATAAAATCGTGGTCGTGTTGCTTCCTGCTGCAGATGTAAACACGCTCGCACAGCTCAGAGAGCAGCTGGACACAGTTGCTCTTGGAAATTTGCAGCTAAAACAAAGTTTAAAATTGTCCGGAACAATTTACGCTGCAAGTTGTGGTATTCTGGTGAGTATTTATAGCAGGAGAAAAAACAAAAGTAGTGATTCACTCCTGTGGTCGTAAAAAAAATAGGTGAATGTAGGATAATGTCGGTCTTTTCTTATTAAGGTTCAGTTTAAGTTGTCTAACAGTATTTTAATCAGAGATCCATGACCTCATCGGGCGTTCATCAGCTTCTTGTCAGGTGATTTTCAGTAAGAGGAGGGTTATTTCTAAGGTTTTTAAATGGACTGGGTGGTTCATTAAATTGAGTCTTTCTGTTTTTAAAGAAAGCTCTGTGTGTATCCCTGACTGTTTCCTTTGCCACATTAGCTCCAATTAAAGTGTGTGGGTACGGAGAGGCTGTGTTGCACTTCTAATGGCTTCAAGAGAGCTTTTTACAAGACCAGAATGGTTTTCTCTCAAAAATAACAAACAAATGTGCAGAAGAGAAACAGGACAGAAACTCTGCTGTGAAAAACAGGAAAGGGGGATAAATTAGTTAAATGTCCTAAATCAGCTCTCAGCTCCAAGTCTTCTTTTACTTTCTTCGTTTTGCTTCCCCCTTTTTGTCTTGTTGGCTCTGTAAGAACACACACACACACACACACACACACACACACGTTAGTCTTGTCATCTTTATGGGGACTTCGCATTGACTTCCATTCATTCATTCATTCAACCTTTATTTATACAGGTTAATCCCATTGAGCCTCTGGGACTCATTTACAAGAGACTCATTTGCATTTACACATTTTCATTGTTCATTCATTTCTGTAGCCTAACCTTGACCCTTACTCTAAACCTAACCATTACCAGTACATACCTGCAATTCACACCTAACCCACCAACGACACTTGAACCTTATGGGGACCGGGCTTTGGTCCCCACAGAGCAGTTGGTCCTCACATTGTAGTGTGTGTTGACAATAGTCATCACAAAGTAACATAAACAAGTACACACACACACACCAGCCTAAAATTGTCCACATTTTTGTAAGTGTCCTGATATTAAAGGTGTGTTATCATAAAAATGTCCTGATATGTCATAACAAGTACACACACACACACACACACACACACACCTGTCTTAAGTTCAGCTGTTAAAACTGATCTCTCTCTGTGTGGCTTCCTTACCAAAACGTGTTTGTTTGTCCAACTCTGTGGCTAAACAAGTTCTTCTCAGAGTGTCTACATGTGGCTAAGGTTAATTATTGTGAGTTCTGTGGAAACATTACGAACAACAAATATCTAACCTGTTCTAGTTCTTTGAACGATCTCAGATTGGCGGAATGAAGTTTAACTCTCAAACGATTGACATGGTAGTCTGAGTGCGGTCTGACTGAAGTGGACTGTTGTTTCCAACACATACTTTGAGTTTTAACAGATCGTGTAAGGCTTTTGTTTAAAATGACATGCATTCCTTCAAGAAATGCTGCTTTCATTCAAATGAGATTTACACAAGCTGCTATAAAATATTTCAGATTTAAGGCTCTAATGCCCTTTGGGCTTGGCCCTGCTCTGACTAGACTTCAATGTGGTAAGAATTAATTCTTCCAAACAGGTTGTCCAAAAAGCTATGTGCAACAGGTAAGATGTTATCGCTCACGGCCTTTCCATAGAACCCACAACGACCTATCCTTTGCTTCTCCGCTCGCATAGACCCTGGTTTTGTTAGCTTAGCTTTTTGCGTGACATATGAGCAAAATGTCTCGGTCTTCTACATATAGCTGTTGAGTTAGGTGCATACTAATGAACCCAAATCCTTTAACACACTGGAACCGCGTTAACAATCGCATTAATCAGCATCATGGTCAGGGTTTAATTTGAACCAGATAAACCAGTAACCTTAAATAAAAACTTTCTATGATTAAATAATACATTCCCTTTGTTGCGGGGTTATGTGGTTTTTTTAGTACCCTTAGCTTCAGTCTTTTATTTATGAGGATGTTTCTTCTTTTTTTTTTTCTTCGATTCAATTACAGCTGCTGAGAAAAAAAAAACTGTTCTTTGATCTTTACTGTTGTTTTCGGTTAAGCAAAGTATGAAAAACAGAGCGTACGGTTTTGCTCAACATCAGAGCATTTCAATCACATCTGAAAGATCGCCCCAGAGGAAAGTCTTTCAAGGGACATGCAGTTTTGTTATGTTTTTCTTTTTTCAACACACCCCGACCTTTACGATCTCCTGTTTGTCCTCCGTCTCACAGACCCACAACTTCTTGAGAAACAGCCTTTTGATATGACTTCATATTCTAATTTGAAACATGTCTCCTACAGAAGTCTGTTTATTATAACGGCTTCGCCACAAACTGCGCTGGCTGCTGCTCTAATGAGCTTGTTCTTTACCATATTTTGGGGGTTAATTGCAGTCATTAGATAACGAACCGCATCGCATGTACAGTTTGTAGTTGTGGCCCGCCGCTCGGAGGAATTGATTACTGTACAAACCGGAGGTTGCTGTGAGTCACACGTGCTGCACTTCATAAGTCAATGGAGTCTGAAAGATTCTCTAATCCTTCATTTCTCTTCTTCTTTTCTGTTGCAGGGCCTCCTGTAAGTACGCTTTCATCTCAGCCAGGTAGTATTGAATTAGTGCAGAGGTTAAACATGCACACACATCACGCATGTCCTCCCCGGCTTGTGGCATCGCTCGACAAACTGCAGGTCAAACCAGAAATCATCCCTTCTCCTGCAGCAGTAAAACGAGCACACACGCACAGAGCAATAAATGGACCACCTACTGAAGAGCTCGCGTGCACGAGTGTCGGTTCATGGTAAGCAAGGAGTGACTTATGTTTGGCGAGTTATTGTCCCCAACTCTCTAACAAAGACAAGACACGAATTAGACGCAAGAATCTAACGTCATGTTCAGGGTTTCCTTTATTTAGTTTTTTCAGTTTGATAAAAAGAAATGTTATTAATTTCCAGATTTGACTCTGGTCTTTCTTCAAATGCTCCCTCTGCCCCACATGTGGCACTTGTTCAGATGTGAAGAGACGATTATTGCTTTCAAACGCACCGTGACGCTCTTCCGGAAACATCGGCTCCGAGGACTGTCCATGCATCTGCTTTGCACTGAAATCCATGAAACAAAGATGGATTTTTTTTTTTTTTTTTCCTGAACAGATAAAAAACAATTTTTTTCATCCTGCATCCCTTAAAGATGATGCACAGCCACATGCTATTCCACAAATTAACGATTTGTCCGTGTTAGATCTATTCACATATGTAGAGTTTATAAAAGCAGATCACTTTTGGGGGCTGAGATGGGGTAGAGGCAGGGCAGCCAACCCGGGATCCAAAAGTCCCAGGTTCGATCCCCAACCATTCCCATATGCCGTGGTGCCTCTGAGCAAGACACCTAATCCCTAATTGCTCCCCAGGCGCCTACATAGCTGTCCACTGCTCCACCTGTGTGTATTGTGATGGGTTAAATGCAGAGAACTAATTTTGCCATTGTATGGGAACATACAGTGATGACAACACATAGCACTTTACTTTTATCACTTTGAATGTTATCAGCCATTAAATGTCCGTTATTAGTTGTTATCCTCCCTATAGGTTGTGTTCAGACTGTCCCTCCTACCTCCTAGTAGGTTTAAAGCTATGTTCTTATCGCTGATAATAGGGTCTGGGGTTAGGTTAAGAGTCAGGCTTAGGTTAAGGATCAAAGGTATGGGGGTTAAGTTTAGGGTCATTGCTCTGGGTCAGGTGTAAGGTTAGGTTTAGGAAAGGGTTAGATAAAGCTAACAAAAAAAAACTCCTGTTTTACACATGTGCAAAGCTGCATATTATCAGTGATAACGTACCTTTAAACCTACTAGGAGGTAGGAGGGACAATCTGAACACAACCTATGGGGATGATATCGACTAATAACGGCCATTTAATGGGCTGATACAATTCAAATCATCTGCTTTTATCCCACTTAGAAGATATATTTTCATATAGAGTTATTTATTTTAATTCAAAACTGATGTTTCTCTGGGAAAACACAACTCCTATTCTATCAGTTTGTCTGTTTTCCCATGAAGAGTCAGGTGTTAACATGAAGTTGATGTAAATTCAGCCTGGTTTGTGCAGCTGCTGGTCTCTAACTTGTCTTTGTGCTTCATGCCTTCATGTCTAACATCACCAGGGCAAAGCTGGACGGGATGGATACCCGGTAAATTATTATTTTTTTATTTATCCTCTCTCTCTTTTTAGTTCACCCATTTATGTCTCTGCTCATTTTTTTCTGCTTAATTTTTCCTTTTCTTGACATTTTTCTTCTCTACTTTTAATCAGATAAATCTGTTCTCCCTTGTTGATTTTGTCTCTATACTTCTGAAGTTTTCAGCACTTGTTAGTCAAAAATAATTTATCCCTCACAAAGACTTAAGTATCTGAAACACAAACACTTTTCAACTTAAAAATGGGTAGATTCAAACTGCTCATGTAGAAAATTAGGAAATTAGTGCCCTTCTAAAAAGTCAGTGTGAATGTATTCTGTCATGGGGAAAAGAAAGTAAACCATCTTTAACAGGTGAATCTCAAAAAGTTTGAATATCGTGAAAAAGTTCAATTTTTTTATCATTCATTTCAAAAAGTGAAACTCATATATTACATAGCTTCATTACACAGAGTGAAATATTTCAAGCCTTTATTTCTTGTAATTTCAATGATTATGGTTTACAGATAATGATAAACCTAAACTCAGTGTCTCAGATAGTTATAATATTCCATAGCCAGCTTCTGGTACTTTTGTCAGTGTGGGCAGGAGCCAAGTCCTGCTGGAAAATGAAACGAGCATCTCCATAAAGCTCGTCAGCAGAAGAAAGCATGAAGTCTCTAAAATGGCCTGGTAGATGCTGCGTGGACTGTGGACTTCAGAAAATATTGGACCAACACCAGCAGAGGACATGGACCCAAACCATCACTGACTGGAAACTTGACTCTGGACTTCAACAATGTGGATTCTGGACCTCTCCACTCTTCCTCCAGACTCTGGGACCTTGATTTCTAAATGACATGAAAATTTACTTTAATCTGAAAAGAGGACATTGGACCACTGAGCAACAGTCCAGTTCTTTGTCTCCTCAGCAGATAAGACACTTCTGATGTTGTCTCTGGTTCAGGAGTGGCTCAACTTGAGGAATGAGACCTTAGTAGCTCATGTTCAGGAGTTAATCAGCTGATTAGGATGTGACACCAGGAGTTTACAATATTGAACCTCTTCATAGTAGGATATTGTAATTTTCAGATACAGTGAACCCTCGTTTTTCACTGGGGTTACGTTCCAAAAAGAACCCGTGATAGGCGAAATCCGTGAAGTAGTAACCTTTATTTTTTTCCAATTATTATACAATGAAATACTCCATAATACATTCTAACCAAAGAACAAAACCTTTTTACAGGCCCAAGCATTTGTTTGACAAATAAAATTACTGTATAAATATTTTTTGCAGATATCTACCGTACTGGAGAGACTGTTTAGCCAATCAGAATGCAGAACACAATGCACAATGCAAATCTGTGAAGCAGCGAGACCGTGAAAGGTGAACCGCGTTATAGCGAGGGGTCACTGTATGCTGAATTTTGTTTTTTCATTATTTGTAAGCCATAATCATCAAAATTACAATAAACTAGGAAAATTGCAATTTCTGCAAAAAAGTGGTGTGTTTAGTACTGAATGATTTTGCTGAAAGCTGTGGAAAAAGCTGAAAATGAAACTGTCAATCTTCAATTGCTGAACTGTCACTGTTAGTCTAATTTAAATAGTTAAAAATGTAACTAAAACTATTGAATATTTTGCTGAAATACTAACAAAAAGCAGCAAAACGCTATCTAAAAGCTAGAATTAGCGAATGTTAGCAAAAAGTAGGACAAAGCTAACTTAAAGCAAGCTAAAGTAGTGAAACACCAGAAGAAAAAAAAAACTGGATAAATCTAGCTTACAGTCAGAAATAAAACGCTAGCCAAAAAAAAAAAAAAAGAAAAGAAGAAAAACAGGAAAAAGCTAGCCAGGAGCCACGTGTTTGCTTAGTTAAGCAAAAATGAGCTGAAATGACCACAAAAAATGGTGAAAAGCTGAAAACATCTGAAATTAGCAAAAAATAAATAAAACAAGCTGAACAAGCAGACAAATGCTTAAATTAACAGCTGAAAGCAGAAAGAGCACAAATGATAAATTGGGCACAAAAAAGTAGACATGAACACAAAAAAGGTTAAATTAATAGGAAAAAAAAGCTTAAATTGGCAGCAAACAGCTCAAAAGTGTTGAGAAAGCAGAAAAACAGCCTAAATTAGCACACAAAAAGTAGAAAGAGCATGTTTCCTGAATTAGGCTGAAAGAAGCTTGAAAGAGCATAAAAAGGGTGTAATTAGCTGAAAAGGTTAAAAAAAGAAAAAAGCTAAATTATAGTTACAAAAATCTGAAATTAGCATAAAAACACTGAAAAGAGCATTAAAAGCTGAAATTTTCATAAATAAGATGAAAGGAGCATTAAAAGCTGAACTTAGCAGCGAGAAGTTAGAAAATGCACAAAAAAGCTGAAGTTAACATACAATGATGACAATACACTTATATTACTTATAAATTATATATATATTTTTTAATTTACCCTTTATTTATCCAGGTAGTCTCATTGAGCCATGAGAACTCATTTTCAAGAGAGACCTGTTTAGGGAGCAGATGGGGGTAAGGGCCTTTGCTCATGGGCCCAGAGTGGGGTGAATGAGGGTGGGGGCAGGTGTGGGTGCTTCTCCTACCCCACCCACATTTTTGATGTTGTCGATAGCGGGGCTTGATCCGGCGATCTTCCGATCATAGGCCCACCTTCTCTAACCTCTGCGCCACCACTTCCCCATAATAAAGTGATTATAATAATTCACACAACTAAATAAATAGCATTTCCTGCAAAAGTGCAGTGTGAATACTGATTGCTGAATGAATTTGCTGAAAGCTGCTAAACTAGCTACTATTAAAAACATAAATAGCAAAACATTTGAAAATTGAAGCAAAAAGAACAAAACGCAAAAAATACCCACAAATGCAGATTTTTTTTTTTAAATTAGGTTAAAAAAAGCTCAAATGTCCAAAAAAAACTATAATTGGCGAAAAAGAAGGTTAAAGTAGTTTGAATAAAGGCACAAGCAGAAATAAATCTAGTAAAAAGTCAAATTAAATGCTAGGAGAGCAATGTTAGCAAATGTCAGGAAAAAAACACTGGCTTAGAACCAGAAGCAACAAATTGCTAACAAGAAACAAAGAAAAGGCTAGCTTCAAGCAAGAAGTAGCAAAACTGTAATAATCCAATTTACATTTAACCATAAAATCATTAGAGATAGTTGTTACACAGTAACAGTGTTACTCAGTAAAAGCTTGAAATATTTCACTCTGTATTGAATCTATATATGAGTCTCACTTTCTGAAATTGACAAAAAAATGCAACTTTTTCATGATATTTAACGTTTTTAGATGCAGCTGTAGTTTCAGGGTTTTGTGTGTCAGGAAGTAATAAAACATGATCTGGTCTTTACCAGGATTTTAAATGACCCAAATCTAACCTGTAGTGGACCAAAAAGACACAACAGATTCCACCATGACGTTACTTAATAAATCAATAAAAAGCCAAAATGAAAAAGCTGTACGTGAAAAAACTTAAGTGCACCCAGTGATTCAGCAGCGTGTAGAACTTCCTGGAGGTCCACTCTTCTTTACAGCGTCAGTTTTATGATGCTTTTAGGCATCAGCTCTCTTAAGTTCCTGCAGCATTTCAATCAGGCTGAGGTGAGTTGTTTCTTGATTCTTGTCATTTTCAGCCGTTGTAGATTAGCTGCTGTTCTGTTGCATCATGACCCAGTCTGGCCCAGGTCTATCGATCACATGCAACTTTTGAACACTATGATCTAAAGGGAAGTTCAGTCCAAACCATAATGACCCCACCTCTGTGCTTTCATGGTGAGTTTGGTTTTCTCCAAACGTAGTGCTGTGCATTATGGGTAAAGATCTCTACTTTAGTCTCATCCATCCTAAATACATGGTTCCAGAATCCTGTGGTTCATTTGATGCAACTTGATAAACAAAAGTCATTTTCAAACGCAGCTTTTTCCAATTTGGTTTTGTTTTTATTTAATAACAACAAGGTTGAATTTGTTGTGTGTTTTTATACACTTGAGGTTAGATTTGAATAATTTTCGAAGCCAGTAAAGATCAGATCTTCTTTTATTATGTTCTGATATGTACAAGTCATGTACAGTAATTGTAAACTACAGAGATGGAAACCACAACTATTAAAGTACGGCCCTTCTTCAATACAGTACTCACATTTGCACGTACTGAATTAAAGATAAAATAATGAGTAATAAACGTCCTCCTTTTAACCAGAGAAGGAGCAGCCTCTGGTGGTCGGTTCGACTCCTGACCACCTAAACTCTTTTCGAAGATGTCGTCTGTTGTTGGTTTGTGCTTTAGTCGTCATCAGATCCTCATCCTCGAACATGGATACATGGGAATCAGCAGTGGGATCGTGCGTGCACACGGCTCCTAGTTCAATGCCACTTTGTTACTCATCACATACGCTGTCGGGTTTCCATGGCGACCTGCAGCAGCCACCCATCATCGTGCTCCGTGCGGCGTTGTGTGTGCTGCCTGTCTTGCGCCGGCCCCAGTGGGAAATCTGGGTTAGGGCCGGGGGCGCTGGATTCCCATGCAGCCTGTCTGGCACTGCACAGCCCCCGCTGACGGGAAATGCCTGCTGCTAATTGCACACAGGTGGACGGCGTGCACAGATTAGAGTGTGCACGCTTGTGCACACTCACGCCTGTTAGTCTGTTCATCTCTGCTGCTGTCCCAATAATCCTTGTGGTGTCTGGATGTAAAGCATCTCCCAGATTAAATAATGGAAAATCTGGTTTATTCTCCTCTGCCTGGGGAGCAGAACAAGCTCCATCTTTACGTGGTATAAAGCTGCACTGAGGTAACGCAGCTGGATGAGCGCTGCTTCTCCTCCTCTTTTGATGTGTGATGACTAAAGAGCTTACATGGAACAAGTTGCAGTGGATTAATCACAGTGACAGTTTACATGCACATCATTTCATTTAGCTGCAGCAGAGATGATTGAGTTTCCATCACTGGGGCTCAAAAAGGCCCATTCTTCCTGCTGGGAGGCGGTGTTTGTGTAT